AATAACCTTTTTTATCAAGTTTTATATAAAAAAAAATTAGATAGACTTTCAAATATCATATGTGATATCTACAATCAATTCATATGTGATAGTTGTATATGTTAATCATATACGACAATCATAGATATTTTTATGAATCATATGTAATTATGTATATTTACAATTATAGAATATTTTATGATGTAAATATTATCACATGTGATCATATGTCAATAATATTTAGACGTATATTATCATATGCGATATTTATAAAAATTTACACGGTGAATCATATAGATCATATATGATATGTAATAAATCTGTTAAACAAAGTTTATCAAATATGATTCAAAACGTGAATCCAAAAATTGTAGAAAAAATGGTGAAAAATATTGCTAATTAATTATAGATATCACATGTGATATTTGATGAAAATTTGGATTTTTTTATTCAAAGTATATTTAGAAAAAAATTATATAAAACTTTATAAAATAATTATGAATTTATCAAATTAAAAAATCTAAAAGATATAATTAGATCTTTAAAGATTTATTCAATTCAAAATGATAATTATCCTGCTAATTTTTCAAAAGATTATGTTACTTTTTAATTAATAAATTATGTGAATCATATTCTTTCTTATCTTCTCCTAAATTAATTAGCTTCTCCCATGATTCACTCTCTCTCTCTCTCTCTCTCTCTCTCTATATATATATATATATATATATATATATAAGGACCTAATCAAATGAGAACCAATTAGTTTGTGGTAACCGTGAGTTCCAATCTCAACTACAAATCAATAGATAAATTAGGAAATTGATAATTTTGGTAATTTTTAATTAAAATTTTAATGCGAGAACATTTTAGGTATTTTCTCTCCTCTCTCCGTCTCCCGGCCTCCGATGATACCACAGTGGTATCACAATGCATCTTATATGTAATTGGGTATCACACTGAGGTTGTTTGTGTGGTTGATCGGATATGTAACACAGTGATATCACAATGCATCTTATATGTGTTTGAGTATCACACTGTGGTATCACCGAAGAAAGGTGGCCGGAAGACGGGGACGGAGCGAGAAGAGAGGAGAGATGAGAGAAAATACCTAAAATGTCTTTGTATTAAAATTTTAATTAAAAATTACCAAAATTATAAATTTCCTGATTTATTTATTGATTTGTGGTTGAGATTGGATCTCACGGTTACCACAAACTACTCAGTTCTCCCTTGAATGACATAAATATATATATATATATATATATATGAGTTTAATCAAATGAGAACTATTTTGTTTGTGCTAACCGTGAGATCCAATCTCAACCAATCATTTTAATATATTAATTATTTTTTTAAATTAATGTAAAAGCGCATGTTAGTAAATTATTAAATTTAGATTAAATATTTATTTATTAATTCCATATGTTTCAAACTTCCTATTAATTTTGATTTTACATTTCTAAATTACCACATAAAACCACAATCTTTTGGGTAGCACATGAAACCACAATTTTTTTTACCACAATGTAACACAACATCTTGTGTTACCTAATACACTATTAGTATTGTAACACCTTGTCCCGCATCAGTAACTATTGAAATTTGTAGCCCCCTTATGACTTGTGAGTTCTTGGTTGTAAGTTACCAAAGAATCCTCAATATGGGTTTAGTGGTTTGGGCGTTGTCTTGTATGGTTTGCTACTATGTGATTGAGAAAATGGAAATAAATCTAAGCTAATATCATATAAATCCCTATTGATAGTGTGTTGAAGGATGTCAAAATTACCACATAAAACCACAATCTTTTGGGTGACACATGAAACCACAATCTTTTTTACTACAATGTAACACAACATTTTCAACCAAAAACTACAAATTGTTTTCCACCTCTTCTTGCACAACCAACAGGATCTTTTGTTTTTTTTTTTTTTTTTTGATTTGATGAAATGTAATTTTAGAAGATTAATGGATTTCTAACGCGCTCAAAATAGTCTCATTAAATTAATTTTTTTTGACCCTTTTGCCCTTATTTACATACTCACATTAAATATTGGACAGTTATTTTTGAAATTTCAATAATTAATTTTTCTTTTATTTTCAACCATGGACTATTAATTTGTGTGATTGAGATTGAATCTCACAGTTACCACAAATAACTCAGTTCTTCCTTAAATGAGCCCATATATATATATATATATATATATACACACACACATATATATATATATATATATATATGGGCCTAATTAAATGGGAACTGAATAGTTTGTGGTAACTGTGAGGTCCAATCTCAACCACAAATTAACGGATAAATTAGGAAATTAACAATTATGGTAGTTTGAGTTAAAATTATAATTAGATGACATATTAGGTATTTTTAAAAAACTTATCTTTTCTCTCTCCTCTCTCATCTCTCCGACCTCCAATCTTCGGCCTCCGGTGAAATCGGTATCACAATATATCACAATGGGTATAAGATTGTGTATCACATTGTGTATCACATTGTGTATCTTTGTTTTTAAGGTTTGAGTTGGTATCATAGTTAGTATCACAATGGTATCATAGTATATCATAATGGGTATCACATTGTGTATCTTTGTGATTACTTAGTACCTGTCGGATTAATGTTCACCGGAGGCCGGAAATTGGAGGTTGGAGAGATGAGAGAGGAGAGAGGAGAGAGGAGAAAGAAGAGAGGATAGAGAAGTTTTTTAAAAATACCTAAAATGTCCTCTAATTATAATTTTAACTCAAACTATCATAATTATTAATTTTCTAATTTATCTGTTGATTTGTGGTTGAGATTGGATCTCACAGTTACCACAAACTAATCAGTTCTCTCTTGAAAGGACCCTATATATATATATCATTTTATATGATGACTACAGTTTATAAAGCTTAATCCACTCGTTTATTTTGAGTGTTAAATTTATAATGTTTTTAATGAATGAAAGTTGGTGAAGGTTTGTTTTAGGGGTCTAATAAAGAGTTGGGGTAACCTGCAAAACTTTCCAGCATTGGGTACACTGATATCTTTGGGGATAAAAATGCATTGAATTTATGTTTAGATGATTCAACAAGGCAACCAAATGAGGGGTGTAGCTCCTCCACCTACAACCCCTCTTCATTTGATAGCTAAAGACAAAACCCTATTTCAAACCCTACCATTCTCCACCAATTAACTCCAAACTTTGCGACTTTCACCCAAACAATACACACATACACTCCAAAACACACACAACACACACACACACACACATATATATATATATATATATATATTGAATATATTGAAAAGTTAAAGTAAAAAAAAAAATGCTAAATATTGTGCTATTAGGAACAAAATGTTAAAAGGGAAGATTTCTATGCGAATTATTGAAAAAAATTCATGTTTATATGAACCCATATTAATAAACTCTAATGTTGATTCATATATGAATATGCAATTAGTTTTTTCGGATTTCCTTTAATGATCCATATATGAACATTCTCTTACTTAAACCGGCCCCTGGACATACATACATATGTATGTATATATATACATACATATGTATATATGTATTTACATACATATGTATGTGTATACATCTATATATATATATATATATATATGTGTGTGTGTATATGTATATGGTTGGTTTCATGTGAGACCAAGTTGTTTTCGTGAAACTATTTTTTTCACACTTGAAACATCACAGCAAAACACTGTGAAGATAAATATAATTTAAAACTTCATAGCAAAATAGCAAAAACATTGTGAAAGTTCTTTCACAATGTTTTCTTGTGAAGTTACAAGTGTAAAGAAACGGTTTCATGAAAACAGAAGATAGATAGAGAGAGAGAAAGAGAGAATTCGGATCATATAAGGCAGACATGTTTTCATGAGACTTGTACGTGAGACCATAAAATAACACTCGTTTTTCACAACAAAATGCAATGAAGATTATGTTTAATTTGTATCTTCACGATTTTTTTGTGCATTCATAACCTCGTCTCATGAATCTCAAAAACAGTATATCTCACTGAACCTAATCATATATATATATATATATATATATATATATATGAGAGTGAGAGAGAGAGAGAGAGAGAGAGAGAGAGAGTGTGTGAGAGTGATTTTCTACATGTATAGGATCCATGAATTTCACCGATGACAATTAATGTGCATATGAGAGCATATTTTCACAACAAACGCAATGAAGATTATGTTTAATGTGTTTAAATTGATATACATTTATGAAAACTATTTAATTATTCGTTAAACATCTTTATTTATTACCATTATATTTAACATATTCAATTAATATTTTATGTAATATATTTAACTCAACTACTTTCCATAAATTCATGTAGAAGATCTCTCCACATAAGTAAAACAAACTTAAAAGTCTTCCATTGAACAAATATGACTTCGAATAATGTGATAAGATCGTTTCTTTTTGTTTATTAAATATACATATAAAGAAAATATGGGGTGTTTGAGATTGCTTATAAAAACAACTTATTCCGGTGTGTCACCAGTAATAAGCATTTTTGAGTGTTTGGATAAACAACTTATATCAGTGTCAAACCGGTAATAAGGAGTTCTTGAAGAAGTTAAAGTCTTCTGACTTATAATAAATTAATAAATACTTTTATAGAAAAACATAAGTTGTTTTAGATAATCAATCCCAAACAACCCATGTATCTTATCCTCAATTATTTATTCAGACAAACCCTACATCACTTCCATGCAAGAAACATCTCAAAAAGTACACCATAATTCAGTTTCAAAAACATAACCAAATGTATGCAAATGTTACTTCCACCATGTCCCTAGTTATAATAATGACCAAAGAAATATAACGAATTTAACAAGCATTTTATATCATACAAACCAATGATGCATGCCATGCAATTCTTATTGTAAGAATCAAGAAACTGTGTACGAATTCACAACTTGATCATCATATAAATAAATCGTATGTCATTAGACAAATTAAGAGCACTCTAAACACACCATGCAATTGACCAAAAGGAAGAGATCAGAAAGCTTATGTAGCTTTTATTTATGAAACAAAGTCATGGAGGTCCAAAAACATATATCACAAAAGCAAAAAAGAACAGTGAAAACGCTTTGTTTTCACCACCCCCACCACCCCATCTTCATTCTATATAGACAATATTTTGTTCCCATTTTACCCCCAAGCTAGTCAAACAAAGAATTACAGTCTGGAAACATTAAACTCGATCCATAAAGGTCTCACCTTTGGTACCAAACCCCAATATTTAGTTAACACATGACATCTTTGAGGAGCTTGTACCTTCGAGTACTGGTCTTTGGAGATGGAGCTCCAGTGGATGACGATGACTTGCCTTTTTCAAAACCCTCTTCACGATCATGCTGCTTGATCTTGTCACCGGAATATTCTAACTGGTTACTGGCTCCGGCGTCGGATTTTGAGCTTGGTTTCTTCGAAGAACCAGCGTGTTTGGTGGTTCGACTCACCTCGGTTTGGCACCAATCACATAGCTCTGGCGGATCCGATGATTCGCTATAGTAGTTGCTACAATACCTATTTTAATATTTTATGAGAAAAAAAAATATATGTTTATATATTTATAATTGAAGAAGTGCGATGTGCACTTACCAAGAAAATAATTTTAAGAATTTATTTATGGAGAACAAAAGGACTTGCAAGAATTACACATGGGTTCTTATAATACTGGTTGTAGTGGTCAAGGTCAACATGAAATAGTACGTAGGTAATTAATTTATATAAAATCAATGAATAAATAATTACTTCATGTAGGGATGGTGGTTGTGATGGTGGTGGGTGGCTGAAGGCGGTGGCGTTTGTTGTAATAGTTAAATAGTTAGAACCATGATGATGATGATGATGATGATGTGTGTGTGTGTTGATAAGACAAAAATTAGAAACTTGATTGATTATGATCGTTGGTGATTTAAATGAACTAAACCGAATAGCATGAATATGAACGGAAAGTGGTTGCCGGAGATTATCACCTGCATATGTGGAAAAACCTAAAGACACAATAATAAACCCATGTGTGTTGTCTTTCTGTGTGTGTGTGAGAGAGAGAGAGAGATGGTTGTGGTGGTGGTGGAGGGTGGAGGAGACATACGAGTGTTGGAAGCGGTGATGACACTTGATACAGCGGAAGATCTTGTCAGGGAAACCAACGTCACCACACATACAACAGACTCTTTCAACATCCACCATTTCTACAGACAGCCCACTTAACCTTTGAAAGAGAGAGAGAGAGAGAGAGAAAAGAGTAATGAGATGAGGCGGTGAGTATGTGTGTGTGCATATATATATATATATATACATACAACTATATATGTATAGATAATTGTATGTATGTATATATGTATACGTGTGTGTGTAGAAAGCGTAGGTGTGGGGGAGCGGGGTTGAACAGGTCGACCACAGGTTGCTTGCAGTCGTTTTCAGTTATGGAGATAGAGGGGAGGGGGGGGCCTTCAGAATACGGCTTGAAAATGACGATTTTGTCCTCGCTCATAGATGGAGGCATGGAGTGAGGTGTCGTAAGAAAGTATTGGTTAAACCATGAATGGTAATCACTTGACAAGGATAATAACCTGCAAAAACCAACACCACACACATGGGGGTAGATGTGTCTTTTCAAAATTACTTTTCTCCAATGAAACAATCAGATAACGATAGTTTTTAAAAAAGGAAGATAGCGATAGTTAATTCATAATTGTAGTAAAATATGACTTATAACATGTTTATATATATAATACTTGATTAAAAAAATCATTATTTATAAATATCAGGTTTATTACGATAACTCTTTAGGTAGTGTTTGACACGCAGACATGAATGGACATGATACGCAGACATGAATGGAAAAGGTTGGACATGACAGAACTGGACATGACAAGAGGGTAGGACTGTACAGGACATGACCGGACAAAACAAGTGTCTTTCTGGTGTTTGGTACGAATAGGGTTGCACATAACAAACTAGACAAGTTGCACAAAAGTTATTTTATGATTTTATATATCATATAATATATATATATATATATATGTATATATATATACAAGTAACACAAATAAAGTAAACCATTTAATTTATAAACAATTTTACACAATTTTCATATACATAAATACAAAATAGTACCAAATTTGAATGAATTTTTTATATAATTGATGGTAGTTTGAAGAACTCTATTCATACAAAAAAGAAATTATGTTTAATTCGGTTTGTAAGATCCTTATCAACTGGTTAAGGCACGGTGAATTTTTTTGCAACAACCACTATGATATGAAGAGTATGAGCGAGGGAAAAATACCCCGTTGATCCGTCGCTAAAGACCTCCTCGGTCACTGATCGTCCGTCGGTTAAAAGCTCGTAGGTAATATTATCAGCGACGGATCAGCGAAAAAATTCATCAACGGATCTGCGAGGGAAACTTTCAGCGAGGGACTTTTGGCGACAAATTTTTTCTCGCTAATCAATCGCTAATTATTATTAATGTAAATATAAATAGTTTGTACTTACATAATTCCTATATTTATTTATACAAAATATGGTCATAAAATAACAAACCAAAATTGTGAACAAATTAAAACTAATCAATTCATACAATTTAAAAGATCCAATTCATACAATCTAACTACCTAGAGGTGGGGAGGGGGGAAACGTATTCTGACTGCCGCATAAACGCAACAAAATGCTCTGATAAGGCGACCTGTTCGGCTAATGCAGTAACATGTCTAGCCTGTTGGGCCTCCAAATCTGTTTTACTCTTCCGTTCGGTCTCCATCTCGGCCTGATAGCGTTCCTCCTTCAGTCGCGCCTCCTCCTCTACCCTTGCCAACTTTTCTCTCAACTCCGCCATCTGTAAATATTTAATATTCGACAAAATCAGTAATTTGTTCGCAATGAAAGTAATGAGAAAGTATATAACAACATAATCAACATACCTTCGTTGTTGAATCGTATTATCTTTCGGTGTTACTGCTACATCTACCCGTCATAGCATACGAGGGATCCTGGGTGGTCCCGAAACCAAATATTCGGCCTTTCCTCCGTCCTCCGACACTTTGCTCCCAAAGAGATGCCTCATCAGGGGGAGGGGTGTCGGTACTAGACTGTGACTCATCCCTAAGCGATTGAAATCGCTCATGTGCTTCACCAAAACAAAAATGGGTGAGGTTATATATGTAGAAATTTCAGTAGCATAACGACTGTAAGTCAAACATATTCAATGCTTGTTTCTAACAATTAAAGCATTCTAATTACCAACGATAGTCACATTCTCAACCTATCAATTTAGCCTAACGTCTACGCAACAATGACAGTCCAACCTAATAGCATCACCATGTTTATTAAAATATATTACCTTAAACCTACCAAACCTATCTTTAAACTGAAGTAATGTTCTTAGAAAACTTACATGATACCTAGCAACTTTGGGGGAACTGAACTGAAGAGGATCGGTAGGCTGGCCGAACAGACTTGGATCAAACTTCCTGTTCATGCAGTGAGTGCACTCAAACACCTTACTAGCAGTCGACTCACGACCTATTACATGTAACTACATCAGACAATTAGGTTAAGTTATTAGTAAATGTAGAGAACGAATTACATATTCAAAAAAGATTATATACACATTATTATGTCTCGATGCTGCGTATTACTAATCGATCCCCCGGTGTGCCTGGACGACACCCCCTAAAAATGTGTATTCTGATTGGCCTTATTGATCCTGGATTTCTTTTTCCAAGGCTCAATATCCCAAACCTATTAAATACATAACACATATATAAGTCGATATGAAAGACATGACAGTTCATAAATCTCACAATAAAGATACATACCTGGTCAATCATCTAAATCCAAAACCTCTTTGGGATCCATAGAGGGCGGTGTAACATAATCCGTGAGAAATCCTCACTGTCACATTGTTGAGCACCGGGATAGGCCTATGCCACGGCTTATTCATGTGCAACGCTCATTAAATCTGAGTACCTATTGTGCTTGGATTTAGTCCATAAATCACGGACCATGTCATCCAACTTTGGTTCCTACTGGAACTAAGCCTACATGGACAATATTTATATCAATGGAATAACCTTATAAGTATAATTACATTAAAAGGGTACACCAACCCGAAAGCACGGGAACATCAAGTCGTGGGCTTCCTTAGGAACTTTCTTCCACCTATGCCACGGACGAACAAAGGAAGACCTGAATATAGTCGTCATCTATTGGCTAACATTGCATATTTAAACTTGCACAATTAAAAAATATATATACAACACAAAAGGCATTCATATCATTTTATTATGTAATATAAAGTCTTATACACATATACTTACTCATTGCCTAACAAAGAAAGATATGGCCGCGGGTAGCATGACTAGGTGTCGGCATCTCATGGTTGGGCCTCTCCTCGACCCTGAACTAGTCGAAGCTGGGGCCTCCACCTCTTGGTCATCTATATCCTGGAGGCTGGTCTCCATGAACTCCACAATGTCATCGGTGCGTGGATCGCCACGTCCACTAGCAGAGTTACTTCCCCTACCAGACATGGTGTTACCTCTATTACCAGAAAATTTTCGATGTGACATCTTCTGAAAAAACAAACATTAAATTCTATCATGAAAAAAGATAATGATAAATCACGATTATATGTACAATTATGAAATAAGCATATAGAAAACAAGCTACTAATCAGAAGAATGATCAGATAACATTGGTTCATATTCATCATTTGAATCATCGTCTATGTCTTCAAATTCAAGTTCATCCTCGCTATCTTCATTTACTGGTATATCGTCGTTTTTATCTTTCAATTCATCGCCACCTTCATATTCATTAATATTATGGAGTCGTTTATCTCCCATGTGGCAAGACGAACATTATCGAGCTCGTTTCCCAATGCAAACGTTTTATGAGTTACCCTTTCGTTGATTTAAAAGAATTGTTCTTCATCCAAATGATCATTGTTTTCAATATTGTTAATCATGTCGGACACTTCATATGTGCCACGAGCCTTTGTCTTGACAACCACCCACCAATCTTTCAAATCCTTTGTCATTGAAAAATATGTAGTAGAGTAGACTTGTCCTGCCTGTGATGCTAGAACGAAACCGATCGTCGGATCTAAGTCTAGACTTATATTTGATATCTACCAAATTGTGTTTAGGGTCAACTTTAACCCCCCGAGGCAGTATCAAACCAAGTCATTTGAACATGACAACTACCTGTCATACTGAGCCATAATACTCCACCTCTATAACATTATCTAAGATTCCATAGAAATCAGACTCGTATTCATCATAGTAGGACCCTGACACTGATACCACTATTTTGGGTAACTCGACCAGATCTATGGGTTACCGTATGAAACTTGTAACCATTCACATGGTATCCTTGATGCGTGGTGGCATAATGGCCTGGTTCGTGTGCTAGGGATTTTAATTGTTCATTTGAGTCGTTTAACTCGAATATGACCTATTAAAGAAGGTCACACATAAGAAACATATATCATATGTCATTGCATTTTGTATATTAATACTAGTGGCCAGTATATATATACTCATGTGATGCGAAAATCAGTCAGCAAACCTCTCATCCTGGATTTTATCAAGTTCAACATCATCAATATTCAGTTCTCTTTGTCGAATCTTTTCGTCATAGGTGGACTAGAAAGGTTGAACTTCTACATAGTTGAACAAGACATATCTATGGATAGTCTCCAAGTCAAGTTCATTTAATATTATCTGTTCCCCATGTAACATCCAATTTTTTTTATATGCCTAGTTATTTGCTAAGTATATTTAATTATTAGGTTAAATAGAACTTATGATTTAGTAGGATTTTAGGTTTGAAATTTTAGAATTATATTTTTTAAGAATATAATAGAGGATTTGGAAAGTGTGCAGACTTTGAAAATCTGTATAAAATCGTAGAAAAATCCAAATGAGGTGAGGCCAATTTCTTTAGTTAGATATTTGAGTCTAATTTATTTCTTATTTTATGATCAAGGCATGAATTCGAGCTTAAAATGGGCAAAACAGTTCTGCATGCAGCAGCTATGAGATTTTGTACATTTACTTCAGGAGGTAATTAGGACATGATTTGATACTTTGGAAGCAATCTAAGTGTGGTAGATTGGACGTGCTTTGTGAGCTCAATTCGGAGCTTTTCGATATTATACGGTTGCCCGGTGAGTTATATGGTTAATTGTTACATATTGATTTGAACATATATATTTTCATATGAATGTTTTTGGTCGTG